GGAGGGTTCGTATGACTGTCTCTACCTGAGCGCTTGATGGGGATCTGTGTCTGGTCTTTAACCAACAGGTATTTCACCAACTTATTTGCCTGGGAGAGGAGGAATACATGGAGAAATCTCAATATATTTTCAGAAAACTTGGAAGGATGACAGAGAAAAAGGCAGACAAAGACAAGAAGAGACTGGGCAACATAGGATTCTTACCCTTTCTTGCAAAATGGCCACATCTCAGAGTAGCGGAGGCCTCCAGCCCCATGGGATCCACCTGTAATTACTGCCACCTCTCTCTTCCCCATTCAGATGCTTGGACTGCATCATCAGAAAGAAGGAAGGTCCAGAGTCATCAGGTGAAAGAGATGGCTCTGTCTCCTTACCCTGCCTCCTCCTGAAAGTCCCCTAATCCCTCACTGTATTGGGTCCTGACCTTATCATTGGCCAACTTGAGTCCTAGAATTGTCTTTCACTCTCTTCCAGGCAGGAGTTTCATTTCTCTGCCAGGACAGGAGCAACCAAAGGACAGGGCCTGAGGTTACCCTTCCTCTTTTGGCCACTACTGACTCTGCTAGCTGTACCTCTTAGACAAGTCACTTCATCTCTCTGGTACTCAGTATTCTTATTTATAAAACTTGAATCTATGATCCCTAGCTGGTAAGAGTTATTTTCAAAACATAAAGACATACCCTGTGTGACTGTACCCATCACAAAGCCTGGCACATGGTAACTACTATGTAAATACAAGTTGAAATTATATTCAGGTTGCAGCTAAGTGTATGGGTATCTTATTTTCCCACCAATCTGTGAACTTTCAGGGAGCAGGAACTATATCGCATACTCCTCAATATCTCTCATAGCCTATCTGAACACAGGGACTGGCTCAGAGTAAAAAGGCTCAGTAATATTGCATAGAATAAATGAACAAACTTGGAGGATAGGAATGGAAACAAGGTGCAAAGTTAAGGATGGTGATGTCAGAGATCTCACCTTTTGGTTCCTCTTGCCCCAGGTCCTGGTTGTAGGCTCCAGACTCAACTGAGCCAGGTAGTCATCTGCCAGGGCCTGGACAGCAGCAGCAACCTGAGTCTCAAGGGCACTTACGTTGGTCTGGGAGCTGGCCATCTTGGCCTGGGCCCCCTGGTCAACAATTTGAGTCTGGCTTTCAGCTGCCCTGCACTTGGCCGTCTTTTGGGCCCTGGACCCTCTCTTAACCTGGAGGGTGGCTGTTAGGACTTGGTTTGTGACCATTTGAGTGGCAGGTGGGGCCTCAGAGATCTCATAGGCAGAATTTATGCTTTTATTGGCAGCCTTCTTGCCTTTGGATTTTCTGGGCTGGATAACTGCTGCTGAGCTCTCATTCTGCCTGATAGCTCTCTCAAGGGCATTTGAGGCCTCTGGGAGCTCAGTGTCAGTATCGTCAGTATCTGTACCTTTAACAGATGCCTTCTTGTCTTGTCTTCTTTCTTAGTTTGACTAGAGGCTGCTGTAGCCTGAGTATTAGCTGTCTCATTGGTAATTTGGCCTTGGGTAGTAGCTGTGTGGGTGGTGGTTAAAGCTAGCGAGATCTCAGTGGCACTGGCTATGGCCTTATCGGCAGCCTTTTTGACCTTGGAAGCTTTCTTAGGCTTGGTTGGTGCTATCAAGGCCTGGGAATTGGCTGACTCACTGGCAAGTGGAGCCTGGATAGTCTGTGAGATGACTGGTAGGTTTAGGGCTTGCAAGGGTGATTTGATCTGTATAATGACATTCTCACTGCCAGCTGGAGATTGGGAGCCTTGGATTGCCTTAATAGTGTCTCTCTTTGTCTATTGGCTTTCGTAGGCTGAGTGGTGACTGAAGAAGCCTGAGTATTGGCTTTCTCAGTGGTAGCTGAAGCTTGGTTGATCTGGGGGGTGATTGGCAGTTTTAAAGCTTGCGAAGGTATTTTAGACTTGTTGATAGTAATCACATTGGCAGATGGGACTGGAGAGGCAGCGGTTATGGTGTTAGTAATAGCCTTAATAGGGACCTTCTTGGTCTTGCTTTTCTTAGGCCAGTTGACAACTGGTGGGTCCATGGCCAGGGGGTCTTTTGTTGCCACCAAGAGAGTATGCATCAGCAAGACACCGTCCTCTTCAGTAGTCTCAGCCTGTACATCAGGAGGGAATGAAGCCCCAAGCTCCCAAGGGGAGGCAGAAGGCCCTACACACTTAGGATTATGATCTGCTGATCCATCTGACCTCCCTACAGCCCACCCTTTCCATGAAGTCACCCCTTCCTCTGAGCAGTGATTGAAAAGGAGGGTGAGGGAAGAAGAAAAGGACAAAAAAGTCAGGTAGGTTTTTTTCTCCTCCACCATTATGCAGGGGAGGACTGAGAAAGGCAGGAAATTATGCAACTACATAGTGGTAGGGGGTTCAAGAGCAGGAAGTGAACCCCAGATGGGGCAGATGGCCTGGCGAGTATACAGAGAGGACTCACCTGGAATAGGGGCATCTTATAACTGTAATCATTTCTCCTATCCATTTTTCTGGGAGGCCAGGTAACAGCTGAACCTGATGGGAAGGGTTATGAGTTAGGGGAGAATGAGAGGGAAGTGAGATTCATCAGACCTTCTACCTATCCTAAAGGAAAGGGGAATCTCATATAACCTTGAGCCCCAACTTCAACCACTCGGTTTTCATACCTAGAAACCCAGGCTAGGTGGTTTCCAAACCCTAGATCCTTTTGCCTACAAGAAACCACAAGCCAGATCTACCACCCCATCCCTTTACCCTACACACATCCCTTACCGCAACTTTATAGTGTACATGCGCACCAACAAGATTGGGGGGGCACCCCAGTCTCAGGCCTTCAGCGCACAAGCGGCTTTGGTGGACAAGACAGTATGACCACCTCAATCCTAAATACGCCTCCTGCTCTCAGAGCAGAACACCTCGGCCCACTCCTCAGCCACTCTTTTCAACTGCATCATATCTCAGTCCAACACTTCCCCCCACACACACCTGTCTCCTCCCTCCGCTCTGCAGTACCTCTTTGCGCCGCCCCTTCTCCAACACCGCCCACCTCTCTTCTGCTGTATAGCCACTCACTGCCCCTTCCCAATACGCCCCCTCCCTCCGTTCAGCAGTACTTCTCCACACCTCCCCTTCTTTTAACACTCCCCCCTCCCTGCTCTCCTAAGTCCTTGCACCGCCCCTTCCCCAACACCGCTCCCCCACATCCATGTCTGCAAGCGACCAGTCTCGCCCTTTCTGCGACATAGATACTCCACCCACAAATCCAACAGTATTACGCGTTTGAGTATTCCATGATCCCGAACCCTACCAGGTTCTTTCCCTTCCCTCTTCAAACCAAAGCAACCGGGTACTAGACCCTCTATTCTCCCATCTGAGCCAGGTCATTGCAGCTGTTCAAAAGGGATTCAGACTCATCCTTTCCCCAGGTCCTGATTCCTATTTTCTGTGGCTCAACCCAGGTAGTGACCTAAGGGAGTCCTGAAATCGCCTATCTGCCACCTCAACTGGATTCTGCTCTTCTTTCTACTGCCTGAAAGATTTCTTGATCTCTCCTTTCTGCAGTAACAAACGGGTCTGCATCCCTCCTTTCTGAAGTTGGAACAGATTCCACATCCCTCCTGTATATGGCCCAAAGGAGATTCTGTCCCCTCCTTTCGCCCGTGCGAAATCGAGTCCAGGCACCTCTAAAACTAACCGATTCGATGTGGTTAGCACCCCAGCGCCTAGCAGATTTCCTTCAAACCTTAGGGGCGTGTGGAGTCGAGCCCATCGAAGCCACAGCCCAGAGAGCCCCACAGGGTCTTTACTAAAGCTGGACACTGTAACT